CCGGAGGGACAAACCCCACTCTAAAGTGACTGTAGCCAGTCATTCTCCTCCAATAGATCCCAGAGAGCCTCATGAGTCACTGCTCTTCCACTGCTCGCCCTCGGCTGGGGCCTCCAGGTGGACACTGCTCCTGTGTAACACGCACACGAGGTTGCCATGGGTGAGTGTCCGAAGGTCCTGGGGTACTGGGGATGCCCACCCTCCCTCCGTCCTGCCCTGGGGCCTGAAAACATGACACTCCCTTGTCATTTCACGGGAACTCCTTCCTGATGGGACTGGTGGCTTTGGAAGCAGCTGAACTCAGGGGCTCAATGCTTTTGCTGTATCTTTTGAGGAGGACTGTGCCCTTGGGGGCGGGGGGCTTTCTAAGAACCCTGGGAGGACCCCTTGAACCACAGCATTGGAAATCAGCCAGCAAATGTGGGCCTCAGTTGCCCATTCGGGAGACAGCAAGATGGGACATCAAGGAGGGGGCTAGACTTTCAGGTGAGTGAGGGACGAGCTGGGGACTCCTGGGCCCACTCAGGCGTCTGGCTTCCCTGAGAGTTTGAGGGTGGGGGACTCAGCTTTGGACAAATGCTTTCCTTCCATTCTTCCCCACCCATCTCACTTCACACCTCTAACTGTCTCATGGGTAAACAGCTATGTGAAGGCCACCCACAGCCACCTGCTTGTTTTCCAGAGAGGAGCCTGTGTCCTCAGGGCGCTCAGAGATGAGCCCTTTCCACCTGCAGTCTGGGCCCAGAACTTTCATGGGAGGCTGGCCCAGAGGCCCCAGGCGTGGGTCCCTCCTGGTCGCTTTCAGAGTGGGGTTCCTTTCCAGCCAGCACTGCCTGCTTCCAGGCAAGTGGAAATGGGGCCCTGAGGCTGCAGCCGAGACACCGTTCTGCTGCCAAGCACGCAGTCTGGAGCCTCCTCAGCCCTTGCTCCTCTGGACAGGAGCTGGGATGGCACTGCTTGCCACCACACGTCAAGCCACACACGTCGTGCGTCACCACACGAGCAGCACGGGCTCCTCCACGTCCACGCAGACACACGCGCACACACCCTCATGTGAGCAATCACCGCCTGCAAAGTCACCACCCAGATGCCCGCACAGACCCCCGCTGACGGAGACAAGCCCCCCACATATACACAGAGCAATATGCACAGCAGAGTGGCCCCTGGCCTGTGGAGGGCCCGGATAGCACTCACCGGGAGGAGGTGAAAAGGGATCCATTGACTCCTCCAAATGTAGACAGGGCGACGGAAATAGGCATGATCCAGGCCATGACCCCTAGGAGCTTCTCTCCAAAAGTCTGGGAGAGGAAACAAGAGGGTGAGCAGAAAAGGAGTTACAGCCTCCCACCCTCACTAAGTCTCTCTGGCTAAGATATTGGGGGAAAAGTGATAAGAACAAGCCATTATGTAGGCTGAGCGAGAAAAGGTATGTGAAGCTATAGACTAGTCTTCATGTGTTGAAAGGATATAAAATATTGGGGAGGGGGTCAGCTTCTTCTATATTCTCTGAGCCAAGTACAGACTCGATTTATAGCACATTTATATTTATATATAATTTATGGCACATTATGGGCGAGGGATTGCTGAGAAGAGCTCTCCTGCTGGGTGGGGCTAGCAATCATGTGAACAGGCTGCCAGGGGAAGTTTGAGGGCCTCTTTCTTTCCAATCTTCAGAGATAAGACACAGGATGACTGTGGCAGGGTGGGGTCATGGCCCAGGTGAAGCCACGTTGAGGGAACTGCCTGGCTTCCAAGTCTTTCTTGGATACCAAGGACCCCAGTGCCTTGGACCTGCAACGTCTCCTCCCCTAAAGAGCACAAACTGCACACATGTTTCCCTGATGACAAAAGGAGTCACGTTGTGCAGGTGAGGATGTGGAGGCAGAGAAAAATGGCACATCTTATGCAAGATTACGTCTTTCTGAGGAGGAGCCTGTCTCCTTTATACAAGCATCCCATTCAGAGTTTAAAGCGCCCTAGATCAGGAGTTGGCAAATTTTTTTCTATAAAGGGTCAGATAGTAAATATTTTGGCTTTGCAGGCCACAGGGTGTCTATGGCAATGGCTCAGTTCTGCTGTTGTCGCTGGCTGTTACAGCCTGGCTGTCCATTTGCTCCTGGGCACCTGAAGCTGTGGCTTTTGCCCTGAGGACTTGGGATGAATTCCATTTCACCAATCCAGGGATCAGGGGACAGTGAGTGGGGCTAAACCGGCAAGTCTTTCAACATTCCTGGTCTGAGGGAGTGCAAATTTGATTTCTTTTTTTTTTTAATTGAAGTATAGCTGATTTACAATGGTTCAGGTGTACAGCAAAGTGATTCAGTTACATGTGTCTATCCATCTATTCTTTTTCAGATTTTTTCCATGATAGGCTACTGTAAGATTTTGAATATAGTTCCCTGTGCTATACAGTAGGACCTTGTTGTTACCTACTTTATATATAGTAGCATGTATCTGCAAATCCCAGCTTCCTAATTTATCCCTCCCTGAGTTTGATGTCTTACCACAGCAACTGCGTTTGATGCCAGCAGCTCCTGGGGGGACATTGCAGTGACATAAGCGACATTGGCAAAGACATACACAAATGTGACCAGTGGGATGGAGATGAAGATGGCTCTGGGAAGGTTCCTGTAGAGGGAGAGGAGGTGAGAGAGGAAAGGCCTGGTACCTGGGACCACCTGCCTCATCATGGGGTCCAGGGAGCGCCTTCTGTCTTTCTAACACCAGGCTGACACTGCAGCCTTCTGTGATGCTCCCTCTCCCCAGGGGGTGGATTTGTCTCCATATGGGCAGGATGATTGAAAGGAAATGGAGCAGCTTAGGCTGGGAATATGCTCCACTCCTGTTGAATTCTCTCTGATCAGAATTTCCACAACACACACCCCTGCCCCCTCTTCAAGACACAAAGACCTGCCTGTCATGGGACAGGTAAGTAAGATGCTTGGAATCCTCTCAGGGCACATTTCATTCTCTAAGGCAGTGGTGTTACCTCAGCACCGTTTTCCTCTTTTAACCTGCTCTGGGATGGTCACTGGGTCATTTTTCTGCTGGCAGGGTGGGTGATAAATGGTCTAAATTCCTGGGAAATGAACTGTCTCTTCAGGATAGACCAGGTCACAGTCAGAAGGGGGCTGAGGGGAGAAGTAGACAGTGGTCACCTGGCTCCCTCTTTCCATGAATTATCGTGGAAGCTGTTACTGAAAATCATTTTACCATATATATAATCGAGGATTTATTTCTGGCTATTTTATTCTGTTGGTCTATATGTTTCTGGTAAGGCAGTACCATGCCCTTTTTTTTTTCTTTCATGGAGGTACTGAGGATCGATCCCAGGACCTCATGCATGTTAAGCATGTGCTCTACTGCTGAGCTATACCCACTCTGCTGGCTCCCTCTTTCCAGAGGCAGGTGCTGTGGGTTTTGAAGGGAAAGAGGGGAGAGCTGGGCTATTGCAACTCACTTGTAGGGATCAACAAGTTCCTCAGTCACGTAATTCAGAAAGTTCCAGCCTCCATAGGCAAAGGAGCCCTGAAGGAAAGCCAGCGCGATGAGGCCGATGTCGGGTTCTTGGAAATTCTCAAATGCATTCTTTGGCTCCAGCCAGAAGTATTGTCCTGTGGACAGGGGCAGGAGGCTGCTCAGAGAGACACGTCAGAGGCCCGGCAGCCCCTAGTCCCGGTCTCCAGTGAGCCTCACATATTGGAGAACTAGGCCAAAAGGAGCAGAGAAATACGGGTCCAGGACCCCCCTTGAACTCGGTAGCCATGAGTCCAAATGGGGACTCAGGTTCAAAGCACAGCTATGAATGCTCCTTTTTCAAAAGGCAAAGTTCCTTGGGAGGAAAGGCCGGGGAGGTTGCTAGTCAGGGCAGGGTAAATTGGAGCTGGCTTGCTAGGAGGATTTGGAGGGTTGGAGTCACTGTCAGTGTCCACATTCTTATGAAGACAGCATCAAGAACAAATGACACTCAAACAAAGCTTCCAAGATGCTGTTATTAGCTCAAGCTTGTTCTATTTTCTTTGTCAATATCCACTAGTCTCTCCCTAAGGCATGTGTTTGGTCTCCCTTTTCATGGCGTAGGTCTCCTGAAGGCAGGGGTCCTGCAGTGAAGAGCTTTTCAATTGCCTTCCCAGCCCTCAGCACACAGTGTCCTGCACACAGTGGGCCCTCAAGAAAGGCTGCTGAGTAAGGTGATAGTGAGATACTGCGTAGCTGACCACACTTTACATCTTCGTCTCTACTCGAGCATTTGGACAGGAAATAAGGAGATGAGAGTGATCAGGAGAAAGTATTGGGACCAGATTGGGAGGGACTCACTATCTTTGAAAAGACAGCCCAGTGATTCCTTTAAGTCTAAATTGCTGGAAATAATATAACCTGCTAAATAATTTAATCTAACGGATGAAAATAATTAAGCACGTTATATAGCAGAACCTTAATTCTGTTTCCTGGAGTCAAAATCCAGGCACCTCACATTGCCTCCAGGACTTGGGGGGGTGAGGGGGAGGTCTCTCTGTTAGTCATTTGACTTTCTCTAGGAGGCAGTGACACTGGGCAGAGCCTAGTGCTGCCACGGGTCCCATGGAAACCAAATATAGACTCGGGCTTGGAAAGGACCAAATCCAATGGAGAATGTTGGCAGGGGCCCCAGGAATGTAGAGCTCTCTCTTGTAGAGATTACGAGTAATTTGGAAACATATAAAAATGTCCTCTGTCTCCCATTTTAAGATGTGGACAAGACACAGTATAAGATACCAAGAGCTTCCCTGGAGCTGGGACAAAAGGGCAACAGGAGTCCAAAGATCTGGAATCTTCTCCTACCTGTGTTGGAGCCATGAGGGCAGCATGGGAGGACTAAACTCTGCACACCAGAGGGGGCCGTCCCAACTCCCAGCCACCCTGGGGGAGATAGTTTCTCATCCCCTTTGTCAAGCAAGGGAAGAAGAGAAGTCATTCAAGGACAGGTTTGGGAAATCTCAGGGTGTGCACACATCCAAAGACAGTGTGAGGGGTGTGTACATGTACGGGGGCAGGGCAAGTTCTGAAGACACTCACCTTTGCAGATCTGTACAACTCCCATGATGATGATCAGGCCCAGCGCCAGGAGCTTCCCAGCTGTGAACACATCTTGAACCCGGGTGGCCCACCGCACACTGGCACAGTTGACCCATGTGAGGAGCACTGAAATGACAGACCCCCAAACATACCCTCAGAGCCAGAATGAGGCTCCAAGACACCCTCTGCATACAAGCAGAAATGTTCCTTGCTCCTGATACAAGATTGTAACAGGTGAGCCAATGCCACAAGCTCAGCCCCAGTGTCCAGAAACCTTGGCTAGGTTAGTAGGTTAGGTTACAAATGGGGATTACGTGCCATGACTCAGAGCTTGGTCAGGACACGCCCTGCCTAGGGCTGGAAGCCAGCAGCGGGCATTGGCTTTGGAGAAAAACCAGCGTCTCATCAGGGCATGAGTGTGGGCTCTGTTTTCAAGATATTGTATGTTCAAGAGGAGCCCTGAGCGACTGGTACGATCCTGGATGTCATCTTCCTGAACCTGATTTTAGGAAGAGGTTTATTTTATTTAATTATTTAATTGACGTGTAGTTGGTTTACAATGTTGTGTTAATTTCTGGTGTACAGTACAGTGATTCAGTTACATATGTGTGTGTGTGTGTGTGTATATATATTCCTTTTCATATTCTTTTTCATTATAGGCTATTACAAGAGGAAAGAGGTTTAGATGAATCTATTGTTACTCAGGTTTATCAAGGTATATGTTACACATAGTAAAATTCACTTTTGTAAGCGTACAGTTTGATGAGATTTGACAAATGTATTCAGGTGTTTAATCACCACTACACTCTCTATATAGAACACTTCCAACACTTCAAAGGTTCTCTTGTATGTTGTGCTCCTTTGAGGTCAGTCTTTTTCCCCTACATCCCGAAACCACCAATTTGATTTCTATTCCTATGGTTTTACCTTTTTCAGAATGTCACATAAATGAAATCATACAGTATATAGCCTTTTCTCTCTGACTTATTTCAGTTAACATGGTGCTTTTGAGATCCATTCATGTTGCTGAATATACTATAGTTCCTTTTTATTGTCAAATAATGCTCCTTTATATGAATGTATCAGTTTTCTATTCATCTACTGGTGGACATCTGGATGGCTCCCAGTTGGGGGCTATTATAAATAAAGCTGCCATAAACACTGGCACAGAAGTCTCTGAGTGGATTGTAGAGGTCTTTGACTAGAGTGTTCATTTCTTTTGAGTAAATACCCAGGAATGGGATTTTGGGTCATAAGTGAATGTATGTTTAACTTTGTAAGAAACTGCCAGACTGCTTTCCAAAGTGGTTCTATCATTTTGCATTCCCACCAGCAATGTGCTTTCCTGTTGCTCTGCATCCTTGCCAGCATTTGGTATTGTCAGCTTCGAAAGCTTGACTCTTCTAAAGGAGTCTGTGGTGGTATTTCATTGAGGCTTTGATTTACATTTCCCAAGAGACTAAGGATGTTGAGCATGATTTCATGTGCTTATTTGCCACCATCCTGATATCTTTGGTGGCCTGGAGGGCTAGGAGTCATAGGCTCCCAACAGAAATGCCAACATGATGGAACCTCCAAGGGCTGGCTGAAGGCTCAGAGGCTGAGCACTAGGACACTGTTACCACCACACTCCCTAAGCAACCCATGGGAGCCCTGGGGCTGCAGGAAGGGGACTCAACTTCCTGGTGGTTATGAAGTGCTTGAGAATAAAGGAAAAAAAATTAAAATCTTCTTGCTTCCCCTTCCCCTGAAACAGTGACCAGTACCCCTCTAGTTCTCCAAGGGTACAAGCCATATGTATAAAAGCACGAGACTCTATACTTTCTTCAAGCTTTTAATCAGGCCTCTGACTTCCCTTGAACAGTTGATCAAGTTACATCAATACCTTATCCTTAAACTGCGCTTTTACTTTTCAAGTATTTTCCAACCTTCCTTGATTCAGAGCACACTTCTGCAGGCTAAGGACCTGACATTATTATCCATCTGTAACCTTCCTCCTTGCCCTGTTTCTACCTGGCAAGCTCCTTCTCATTCTTTCAAGACCCAGTTCAAATGTACCTGTACTGTGAGTCTTTATTATTTTATTTATTCCTGACAAGGTGCCTGCCAGGTAAGATGTATCAGCCGTGTTTTATAGACAAGGAACAAAGTTCATCCCTCCTCTCTATTCCCAGATCACTTTTTTAATATCTAAGGTTGGTACTTTTTTTTTTTTTGTATTATAATTATCTGTTTCTTTTACTCTGTCTCCTTGTAGACTAGAAGGGCAGGACTGTGACTTTTCCAAATTTTTAATCCCAGGGCATATCACTGGTACCTGCAAATAGTAGGTGCTCAACAAATATTTCATATTCAAAGAAAATGCCACAATTCATTAATCCTTCAATCTCATCTCAGTCTGCATGTTCCATGCACACCAATCGCCCTAGGAATCTCCTCAGTTGGTTTCAGAGTCAAAAGGGCAGCAGGAAGCTTAACTTCAAGGGTAGGAACTCTTGGCTCACGGTGGAGGAGCTTTTGCCCAAGACGGTGTCATATAAGGGAAACCACATCATGTTGTCCAAGGTAGGATTTTGAGTACCGGAAGTGGGAGAACATTTTGTAGATGTTCCGAGGGACGGAGATGTTCTGATATGTACACTTTGGTTTATCTTACTCAATTCAATAAAGAGTTCAGGATCACATGCCTGGTAACAGTTCAACCTAAATCACTCTAAACTACTGGGCCTGTAATCGCAACTTCTCCCCGGGGGCCCTGAAGCATGCTTGGTATAAGGCTGGGCATCTGGGACCTGGGAGTTCAAACAGATACAAACAATAGTGACTAAAGGATAAAGGAGGCTGCTCTATGAAAGGAAGATTAGGAAACAAAACCCTTGTGGCTCCAGGATAGGGAAGGACTACAGAATAAGGAACTAGATCTCATCAAGCAGAGAAGAAAATCATTCTCACTGAGGGGAGGAGAGGGCAGGGCCTGGAGGAGGAATGTGCTGGGATAGAAAATGTAAACAGGACCTATCTAGGCAGCTAGAGAGACTTCTTCACCCTGTTCCCTGGGGGATGGGAGAGGTTTGAAGGAAGGGGCAATTTGTCATATTAACTTGCTGTGGGTGCCTTCTGTCCCTCCTGAGCTAATCCCCACAAGAACCCAGCCTTTGACTAATATTTAACTTTTAGCCTTTTCAGGGAACTTTCAGACATAAAAGAGAAATCCTGACAATGGGATGGGGGAGACAGGCTGCCTGATCTCCCTGGAACAATGGCGGCAGGCCTCTTCTGATCCTCCGCCCTGCAGTTGGCCAACACAGCATGTGACTGTGGGGAAAGAGGGCATTTTCAGTCTCCCTGTACCACAGGACAGCGTCCCTCACAGCGGGCTGAAACTCGAGCCTCCATCCGGAAAGGAAAGGTCAGTGAGGGAAGGCAACACTTGCCAAGACCCTGCCCTGCTCAGGCGTCCTGCCTCTGCCTGTCTGTGCCCAGCACCCTTCTGCTGCTGATGGCTACGTGCCCTCTCTCTTCTTAGCAAGACCCTGAATTCTACATGCTTGAGATACAGTGACCTCAGGGAAGCCACATGAAGATGGGGACCAGTGGCCACTGCAGATTGAGATGTGAGGGTCTTCATCCATCTACCTACCCATCCATCCATCCATCCAACCAACCATTATCTACAAAGAACCTACAAGTTCTAGATACTCTGGTGAGGGGTGTTATAAACAAGACACAAGTCCTTTCCTGTGATCAGGAAGTTGACACTGTAAGAGGGGAGATGGCTGAGCTAAAAGGTGATCACAAAGCAATATGGTGTCAGTAGAGCTCTTCACAGAAGCTGGCAGGCAACTGTGAGGAGCCCCTAGTCCTGCTCAGGGAAGTCAGAGATGCTTCCTATAGGTAGGAAAGAGCGCAGTAACAGAGAATTTTATAATTGGGGGCTAGCCGGACAAAACAAACAAGAAGGCATAAGACTCTGGTTCTAGTCCATTGCAGTCTGGCTGGGGGGTGGGGGGGGTGGCTGCTTCTCTAGACGGCCCTCTGGAACCTCAGCCTTCTCTGTATTTCTTTAGTGTTTTCTCCTCTTTTTCTTTTCTTTCCATTCTGTTTCCTGGCTTTAAAAAAATAGGTGAAAAGGCTATCAAGAAGATGAGACTTCAAGAAGATGCTGAAGTCAGGGCTTGGTTACTTAATCTGCCCAGTTTGAAAAGCTTAATGTCAAAGTGACAAGAGGGATACCAAAAAAAAAAAAAAAAAAAAAAAAAGAGAGAGAGACAGGCAGGTCTCAGAACCCAGTAATCTCATGCCCTGCCCAGAGCCCAGGGCCTAGCAACTGCCAAGCAGGAGAGGTGGGCTCAAAGCCTCCTGCCCATGGGGAAGCTGCGGAACTGGCAGGGACGCAGAGTCCTTGTCAGACCCATGACAGTGCAGATTCCATCGCTGACCTGGAATGTGTCCACTGTGGAGAGGGTGAGTAAGCGCCTGCTCCCTGTGGAGAGGTACCCCTAAGCCCCAGCCCAGCCCTCATCCTCATATTCTGATCCCTGGGGAGTCACAGAAGCCTCTCATTCACTTCTTCCCCTTGACAATGACATCAGAACTCATGGGGCCTGTGACAGGCAGAATAATCACCTTCCCAAAAATGTCAACATCCTAATCTTGTGAATATTACCTTGCAAAAGGAATTTCACAAATGTGATTAAAGAGCTTCAAGTGGAGAGGTTATCCTGGATTATCTTAGTAGGCCCAGTGTCATCATAAGAATCCTTATTACAGGGAGGCAGGAGGGTCAGAGTTAGAAAGGGAGATGTAATGATGGAAAACAGAGGTCAGAGACAGAAAGAAAGAGAGGTGTGAGTGCTCGCTTCAGCTGCACATGTACTAAAATTGGAACAATAGAGAAGAATACCTCCCTGCACGTGGATGACACACAAATGTGTGAAGTCTTCCATATTTTTATAGAAAACAAACTTATGAATACCAAAGGGGAAGAGGAGGGAGATATAAATTAAGAGTTTGGGATTAGCAGATACACACTACAATATACAAAATAGATAAACAACAGGTCCTACTGTATAGCACAGGGAACTATATTTAATATCTTTTAATAGCCTATAATGAAAAGAATATGA